AAGAGAATGTTCTAATGATTAATGATTACATACATAGGTTGTCTTGAAAACTCTTGACTACTAGGAATATTTAAACAAAACTCAATGTTGATGTGCCTGTAACATACGAAGAATCAAAGAGGGGACCATTATGTAGCTTCCAATCCCATGGAGGCAATAAGACACAGACATTACTTACCAATTCCACACCTATTACGCCTGCACCAATGACAACCATCTTTTCTGGAACTTTTTTTAAAGATAAAGCTCCTGTAGATGACACTACTGTATCTTCATCAATCTATAATAATAATATTTAAAAGATACAATCAAAATCATTTAGAAAAACCTATTGATTTATAAACTGTGATCACACTCAGTACAATAACTAAAAATACTAAGTCATTTGTTTTGAAGTATCTATGACTTCTATCCATATACTCAATTTTATCAAGCCCCATGAAAAATAGTCACTTAAAATTTTTATTAAGCATTTCAAAACAAAACTTTATGTTGAATTAAACTATATTGTAAAGTGTTCTATTTCTGGTCAAAATCACTGCAGAATAAAGACAGGCAACTTCCCAAACGTGAATGACAGTCAAAATATAGTATTTCAGTCAGAAATCTTTCAAAGTTAATAGCTAGCATGAATAAAGTAATTTATAAAATGTATTTCTGAAAGAAGATTTTGGCAGTTGTAAATAGCATAAATACCGTGATTCCAGGGAAAGGAGTAACTTCTGAACCTGTAGCTATAAGAATGTTCTTTGTATCGATAACTTGCGTGCTGCCATCAGCTTTCATAGCAGTGACCTGATTTTTCCCAGTTATCTTTCCGTATCCATTTACGTGAACAACCTTTATAAAATATTTATAAATCACAAAGTTTAAAACATTTTTCGATAAACAAACATGATTGATAGGAAAAAAAAAAAAACCACTCTATTAAGCAATTTATCTAATACAAAATGCCCTTACTTAGTAATGCTATACATGGAGCAGCTAAAAATTTGTTATATATGTTAGGGAAATCAATTTCAGGTTAGCATACTGTTTTAAATTAAATAAATATCCCCCAGCAGCCAAGTTCTAATAGCATCACTCTATCAGCATAAAGCTATGTTTAATGTATATATAAAATAAAGCAAAAATATGAACATTAAACACACTGACCTTATTTTGTTTGAATAAGTGGGCAATTCCACCTGTTAAAGCTTTTACTGCAGTACTCTTCTGCTCCATCATCTTCTCTAAATTCAAGCGAACTTCAGACACTGTAATTTATTAAATAAATCTTTAGTGCTTAGCTAAATTCTTAAAACAATGTATGATATTTTTCACTAATCAAGGTCTGGAAAATTTCAACCTAATGCTTATAGAACTATTTATAAGGCAATATAACTTTTCTAAATTTAATTACTGACATAATAATCCTATCTGGCAAAAGCCCAACAATATCATATTACAATAACATAATCTATCAAACAATACAAAAAAATCCACCTTTGGGAAAAATGCAGTCCGAAATTAAACATGATATACCACTGTGACAACATATTCTCCAAACACTGTATGATGATCCTAAGCCTGGAAGAGATTTAAGTAGAAATGGCAAACAAAAACATCACCTGAAATTTTAAATAAAAGGAAATACTAAATTTCATGAAACAAAAACTAATAAAATTAGAAAACTTCAAATACAGAAAATGAGTTTAATCAATTAGATTTTAATCACTCAAATACAGAAAATATGAGTTTAATCAATTAGATTTTAATCACTCATCTACCTCAGAAAAGAACTCTGAAGCAACAATGTAAGAAGAAGAAGATCAACTCATAGAACTTTAAAAGAATGGTATCTTAGAAATCAGCTCAACCAACCAACATATATCTTAGAGATGAGAAAGCAAAGACCCTGAGAAATTTGATTTACCTACGGTCATAGAGCTAGAACAGGCAGTTCTGCCTACGATGCAGGTCTCTTAACTAATCCTCTCTTCTTTCCTTAGTGGGAAAGGAAAGTGGGTTCTGATTCTACTTTTCATCTAGTTTAATACAATATTTGCTTTAGTGTATATACATCACCAGATTGCCAACACTGCAGCTTATTCTTTCAGATACCCACTGCTACCAAGAATCAAATGAATGTAAAAACAGGCTCCCAAGGTGTGTTTAAGCCCTTCCTAGAACAAACTAACCTTCTGGATGTATCTGCCAACGATAGTTGGAGAGAAATAATGAAAACAGACCCAAAAGAATGGCAGGAGACAAGACATAAGTTAAAATGTTATAAAATGTCATTTTCCACTATGCCATATCCTTCCCTCTCTTTTCTGCTCTTTCCACTACCAATAACTTGGGTAGACCTTCGTTCCTTCACCATTATCTGCCCATAGCACTCAGGAGTCCAGTGCCCCCACACTCTCAAACGATCTCCAGGTTTCAAGAAGATGCACACACGCACACACACACACACAGTAGACTTCACACAAAAGTTGACAAAGGAGCAGATGTCATGGTAGAAATCTGAATTAAGCCTTCTTTGTTAAGTAAATCTCTCTACATTTTTAAGATCTTTTTCTTACACTTCCCTCACTAAACATATATTACACACTCATCAGGCACAAGTTGTCTTTAGCCAGAAGAGTTAAGTATGGCTGGTAATACTGCTAAATATGAAAGTATACTTACTTTCAATTCCCCTAGATGCAAAATCTTTTCCATGGGCCATGTGGTAATAATGAGAGTTATTTAATAAAGCCTACAGGAAAGAAGACAAAATGTTCAAAGCAGACAATATACAATCAAAAACCACTTATGAAATGACATTCTGCACGTGGAATAGTGCATAAGACCACACCAATTCAGTTCTTGTTCTTACATAATTAACCTAAGACAAATGATAAATGACATAAAAAATGCTCAACAAACAAGAAGGAAAATCTTTACTTTCTTTAGAAGCAAAAAGATAAGTACACACTTCAGGGTGGCAGGTGAAAAAGGTAATCATGTTTACTTAATATATAAACTACCTAAAAGAATTTACTACCTATTATCTGTTTCATTGCTCAAGGAAAGCTGAAGAGAAAAAAAGTAACATCAGAGTGTGGTTGAATGAAAACACTAGGCATTCTGAGACCAGAAAGTTACTTCAGGAATGTATGGTAGACTGGTGACAACACTCTAAATTTTACAAAGGAAAAGCATGTTTATCATCAATGGGTTGTTTATTTTGTAATAACTGTATCAGTCTAATATTCTAGTCTCAATACATCCTTCTAGTTGGTGACCAATGAAAAAATTTCTGTACTGTACAAAATATATGCTCACCTTAGAAGGAATACAACCAACATTCAAGCATGTTCCACCAAGTGTTTCATTTTTCTCAACACAGACTGTCTATAACAAAAGAAAACATTATTTAACTGCACATAACCTGCAATATTTCGGTTCACTAAAATTCCAAATGTATTTGTCTTAGTTCTACAAAACAAGCTACTCAAGGTAGGTTGGGTGGGTTGGTGAGTGTGAGTGTGAGTGTGTGAATGTGTGAATGTGTGTGGCTATGTGAATGATATACAGTCCTTTGTAATTTATCATTTTAATAATAGTAAACTCAGGCTAACCCAAAAGTGAATTATTCTAAGAGGTATTTCCATTTGTTTAACATTACCAAATACATGCTTTTAGCTCTATTTCTGTATCTTCCAAGGTGTGATTAGAAGCCAATGAAAAGTATTGGAGGGGGGATAATGGACCTCGTTTTTCAGTTCATGAGAATAGTACAACTAAATGAACCCTCTCTTCATTAGTCTCAGGCTTAAATATAATTTACAGATTTAAGAACTTATTTGCCATTATTATCTACCTGCACGTATTTTGTGAATATGATCCAACACCTAGTTTTAGTCTAAATCTTACCTTGAAGCCTAACTGGGCAGCTTTAATAGCAGCAACATATCCTCCAGGACCAGAACCTATCACTGTTACATCAGCATCAACTAAATAAAAGCAAATTGATATAAAACAGTTAAATTGCTTAATATTGACCAAAAACAGTACAATTAAAAAAAGATATTTTAAACCTACACGAGAGTGAAAATAACTAGCATTTTCTAAACAGTAATATTTTATTCCTAGGTATTTGGTACTCTTTGATGTAACTGAATATGCCACAGATTTTTCTATTTCATTTTCCATTTGTTCATTATGGGATATGGAAATACAACTAAGTTCTATATCCACTGACTGCTAAATACCACATTTTATTTAATGATAATAGGCATTTCATGACACTGGAATACACATCTGTATAAAGGAAAGTGCCTGAGCTATAGAATCTGACACACGTGGCTTCAAATCTTAGCTCTGACACTTAATAGTTGTGTGACCAAGTGACTTTTTTCCTGTAATACAGAAACAATAATACTGCCTTAAATGATTGATGTTAGGATTAAATAAGGCAATTTTGTGTAATACCTTGGTACAGTTAATAAAGACTGATTACCTCTTTCAGGTTCTTAACTTCTGAGACATCAGGGGGAAAAAAAAATCAGCTTTCCTATAACACATGGCGAATATGTTTTGAACTTTATGTGAATATTGATAAATTTTGTAAAGTTTAAAATAAGATAACCAGAATATTCTGTTAACTATTCTGGATATTTATCACATAAAGACAAAAAATTCAAAATTAACTCTGATCAGCAGCCTTAGCAACATAATTACAAAACAAATGTACAAAATATATTCAGTTATTCCCATTCTCCTCAATCTAACTTCAAATAAAGCAACAATTAGGAATTAGGAGAGTCTCCCTTCTCCTCCCCCTTCACTGTCCTTACAATCTCAATTATTCTACCATTTAGCAGTTTTTAACACACTTCCACATATTATGTTTGATTCTCAGAACTTCTTATAAAGAAGGTAAGAATGGTATATATCTGACATTTCACCGATAAGAAACACAAGGTTCAGAGAGGTTAATGAACTTGCCCATGGTCATCTAGCAAGCAGACAATAGAGACAAAATTAAGTTTTTTGTCTCTACTTCCAGTGGTCTTTATATTATTCAATACTATTCCTTCCTCAATTTCAACTATCATAAACTAAAATCCCCAAGAGCAATAATACAGCTTTATAATGACTAGCTATCTGAACTTAGGTGAGTAATTTAACCTACTTCATCTTCAGTTTCCTCATCTGCAAAATGAAGACCACAAAACATCTACTTCGCAGGGTCATAATACAGAATTACCTATGTAAACAGTTTAGTATAGTACCTAGAACATACATAAGTATTCGCCACATGACAGCTATATTCTGACCTCTAAAGATGGCAATTTTAATTTATCATCCCCTTCCCGACAAAACACACAACCCTAGGGGATGGGAGTGCACTAGTATCACTCAAAAAAACCTGTGCTGGCCTTGAACAGAATCAGAGAACCTGTGTTGGAAGACAACTAAGAAGTTATCCAACTCAATTATACACAAAATCTAAGAATCCTTTCTCCTTAATAAATGAAAGTGCCGATTCTCCTTGGTTATATCATATGATAATTAGGATTACTCAATACATGAACAAAATATAGCTAGTCCAATACATGAAAAAAGTACTGCTTCAATTTTTACTGATCCATTTGTGCTTTTTGGCCACACTGGTTGGCTCGCTCATTCATGTTCATAATTAAATATGAAATAAAATGTATTTCTATTTTTAAACTTTGAACCAAATGATCTAAACAATATCCCTTAATTTGGTAGAGTTCAAATATTAAGCTCTACCACCACTTAAATTCTTGAGCAAATTATTTAACCTCTTTGGCTTTGATGTAACATAAGGACAATAGTAACAATTAATACCCATATCCCAGGGTTGTGAGGTTAAAGATAATGCACATCAAGACCCTAAGGATGCCAGGTGCATATTAGGCACTCAAATGTTTCTTCCCTTCTTAGATCTACCTCCTAACTTTAGTCTTGCGGCCTCCAATCTCATTCCCACCCTCTATAACACCGTACATACTACTGTTCCATTGTTACCCCCTGCTAAAACCCAACTCAGACCTTATTCTCCTACTCTCCATTGGTTTCCCTGTCTTTTTGGATAAAGTCCAAGTTCCTAAATACAGCACCAAATCTCTTCAGTAACTATTTCTCCAGCCTTGTCTCCCACCACATCCTACTTATCCACTAATACCATGCAGTTTAAACTTCAGCAATAGTGAATTACTGTTAGCTTACACCCACAGAACTATGCTGGTCTACCTATACACATTCTGTTCCATCTGCCTAGAAAAATTCCTGACAATATGCATTTTACATTACAGACACAAAACTCCTGGACTACCAATAAATGACACAGCCCTGGTTCTTACAGTATAGGAAGAAAGAAAAAGAATTACAATAAAAACTCCAATTTGCAACCAGAATGATCTTTAAAAACAAATATAGTCATATCATATCCCTGCTTAAAACATTTCAATGACTTTCAACTACCCTCAAAATAAAAGTGTTAGAATCTTTCATAATCTGGAGAAGTTAGCTCACCATCTTTAACACACTTCAGCCACTCTGGCTCTTTTCAAGTTACTCAAATGCACTATGCTCCTTCCCACATAAAAGTATTCTAGCATGCTGTTTCCTCTATCTGGAACACTTCTTCTCATATCTGCTACTTCCACTCCAACCCTTTTCAGATATCACAATCATTTCCTTATGAAAAATTCTGTGAACGTTCTCAATCCGTATGTAGATTTCATAGCTCCCTATGCTTAGCCTGTAGAGTTCTTATTACAATTACACTTAATTATCTGTTGAATGTTTGTCTTCCCCAAATGCACTATAAACTTTATAAAAGCTGCACCTCGTCTGTCTTATTCACTTTTGTATCCCAACAACTAGCAGAGTAGATATTCCATACTTGTTGAAATAATGAATAAGTATTGAGTACTTAACTGTGCCATTTTAAGTGCTAAACAAAAGGTCACAGTCCTTGCCAATAAATAAATACCTAAGATGAATATAAATATGTATGTAAAAAGGCTTGTTACTTCATCCAAAGACTTGACACATTGTATCTACCTGGGTACAAAGGGATCTATAATTTACTCAATGTCAAAGAATCACTGAACTGTTTGATTCATAAGGGCTCAGTTACCCTCGTTCCATTAAAATTTAAGTTCTTGCTCCAGACTGCCTAGCAAATAGAAGGCACTAAACAATCTTTGTTTGAATGTTTCCGAGTATAGAATTAGCCATGGAAAGTCCTTAATTGCATGCTTTGGAAATGACAATCTAACATTTCTCCTATGTGTGAGTTTAGAATACATAATATTCCCATTTAACGAAGGAGACAAAGTATGTATGCCCATTATATCTCAATAAAACTGAAAGAAAAAAAAGGAGACAAAGGGTATAATGGTCCACCATCTAATTAGTATTTTTAAAAGGAATTCTTGACCTGTTCAAAGCTAAGATAAATCATTCATTGTTGGTTATTAGTGATGGAATCCTCCCCCTACTCTTTCTCCTAAGAAGAAAATCTCCAAAATGATAATAGTTTGACAATAGTTAAGGATACAGGATAAAATTATTTCACAGAATACAAGGAAACTGATGGTCAGTTTCCCCCAGCTAATAGTATTTGTACAATGACGCTTTAAGATGTACCATGCAATCATATGTGTAATTCCATTAAATGTCAAAACAAATGATTTCAAATAATCGATATCCTTGGTATTGGGAGGCCAACATACCTTACTATAAGTCCATTGACTTTCTGTTTTAAATACTTTAAAAAATAAAATGTATAAACTTCAAAAATATAAAAAAAGTATAAAGAAGAAATTACCCATAATCCATAGTTTCCTTTTAGGACACATCTTTCTAGTCTTTAAAATGTGCTTCTGATCCCATCAACATTTTCATTCAGGAGGTGAAAAAAGTCATCTCACATTCTAAACAATGTTAAGCAACCAAAACAACCAGACCAGCAGACAGAATTAACTTTTTAAAGGTAAATATATAAAGTCATCACCCTGTTCAAAATCCTTCAGTGGTTTTCCTTGGAGTAAAATCCAAACTCCCTGGCCCAGCTTACATAACTCTACGTGATCCGATCTCCATCTACCTCTCCGATTTTACGTTGTACAAGTCTTTGCTCCAGCCACAACCAGTCTTTTTGCAATTCCTTAAACTACACAAGCAAATTCTCACCTCAGACCCTTCTCACTGCTGTTTCCCTCTGCCTGAAATAATCTCCTCACTCCCTCACTTCACTCAGGCCCTTGCTCAGACATTGTCTCCTCAAAAGAGCTCTGACGCCTTACCTAAAATACTTTCTTTTCCTACCAACTACCTGCTTTAATTTTCAATCACTTCCCAAAATATTGATCTGCTACTTGTATATTATTTGTCTTTAATGGAATGCGATAAGTTCAATAAGGGCTTTGAACAAGGGCTTTGCCTTGTTCATCACTTGGAACACAACAGGTACTCAATAAACATTTAAGTGAATAAATGTATGAACAATCTTGAGGAACAACTGTTTTACTAAGTACTTACTTGTTTGATCTGCATAAGTTCTCAGAGGCACTGCAGAAATTCCCTGTATGCCATGAGATATTCGACTGAAATGGCCTCTCTGGAAGAAAAGAAAAAATGTCCGAATTATGTAAATAAAGACCTACTGAAGGTCAATGAAAACATGACTTTGGGCAAATGGATCAAGCACTGATTATTAATGCATCTTCCATTACCACCCAAAGGTTACATACAAATTTCTCCACTTTGACAATAATTAAACTTTTCAACCTCAGCTTGCCACACTCTTTTTATTATGCATATTCAAACATCTCATGTTTAACCTAATAAACATGTTATTCAATGGTGTTAATTTTGTTGAATTTTCAGAAAATATGGCTAATTTTAGGTACCAGGTTATCATTTTAATATCATAATTGAAGTTCTTAAAGTAATTGAATAAGCATTTGAATACCCTACATTATGACAATCTTTTTACTTGTAATTAGTTTCCTAACTCAAATCTATCACATAAAATCTATGCTCATGTTCCTGAACCGTCAACTATGAACAAAAAATTAGACATGGAAATTTAGGAAAACACAGTAAGTAATGTATTCATATTCAAGAGCTACTACAGTTCTACAAACTACATCATAATCTCCACAACAACCTCTAAATATCAATGACTACTATTTCCTAGAATAGCGAGGCACAAACAAACAGAGCAAATACCTCCTATCACAGCAGGCAAATGGGAGGCAGCGACAAAACCTACACTGATTAGTAACGTTCTCTATTCCAAGGCAATTCTTGCACCTGAGGTTGGAACAGTAGACCTAAGAGGGGAAAACTAAATGTCAATCCTAAATTTTAGTCCCAGCTCTGGCCCTCATTAAAAGTGTGATTTCAACATGTTACATTAACTTTCGAGAACACAGATTACTCATCTTCGAAACAAAGGAGTTTGATAGTTATATTATCTTTAGAGTCTCCATCAATGTAGTACTCAGCCACAATGCCATATATATACAATCTGGCTGTAGTTGGTGCGCGGATGTCTTAACGATAACCTACAATAATTAAAAATAAGTCCCTAGGAGGCATGGCAATGAACACTAATTTAAAGCTGTAAACACTAACGGGATGAGAAATTCCTAGGGTTGGCTACCCGTTGGTGCTGTCTAGGTCTGGGTCTTTCAAGCAGTGGCCCTTGGGTTACTTGCCCAGTGCACAAAGTTAGGTCCCTCAGGAACAGGAATTAGGAAAGAGTATAAGGTATTAAGAGCCAGAGATCATACGAAGAAAGGGCAATTTCTACTTCCTTCTCCAAAACGGAAAGGCCTTTGTGTGACCACATGCCCCATGACCCTGACCTACAACTAGAGTGTGTGTGACTGCTGGCCGTCACATAACGGCAGGACTTCTTCACAGCCCAGACCTTTGCCTCCTGGCCGCGGCCTGGACTGAGCCGGTTCAGGGGCGAGTCTGCGTATGGTCCCAGCCAGACCGCCGGCCTCTCCCACCCATACCAATTAGGCCGCGTCAGCCGGCCTCCCGGTGCCTCTGGCTCAGCACGACCTCATCCAGTCGGCCCTCACCTTGGCCAACGAACAGTACACACGACTCCAGCTCTGCATTTTTGCGCTGTACTTTGCTTTCCGCCAACGTTTTCACCTCCCGCAAGAACCTCCGCCGCCTTCCAAGGTCTCCCCGCCCTGCGCATGCACAAGCGTGGCTTACGTCATGGGTCGAAAGCCGAGCGATTGGCCAGCGCGGTCTGCACCCGGCGGAAAAGGCGTTCCTATCAGGCTCGGCGTCGTACACTGACGTAAAGAACGTAGTGCTTTGTGGCAGTGGGGATTGAGGCACCGTTTTAGGGGGTGGTAAAAAACTGTCCGGAATTGTAATGCGATCTTCTACTACTTGCAAGACGAAATGAAAAAAACGAGACTATCCTTTGCTTGATATATGCTGCAGAAAGTAAAGCTTTACAAGTTCTTGATTGTGTTAGGCCAAGGAATCTCAGTACTTTCCAGGCATTATCTCAAGCATCCTTACAACACCTATCTGACGGATTATGAGTATTTCTGCTTCTTAGATGAGTTTAAACAGTACCCCCCGAGATCTCCCAAGGAAAAGATGACTGCATCCTTGAGGTCAAAGCCTTTGGTCTTAACTACTGCTTTATAGCCTCTCCCCTGAATTCGAATGCCATGTAAGGGATGGGGGCCACAGTCTGGAATCACCAGCGCTTTGCTCTAATTAAGGTAACTGACAATATATAGAAAACACACTATCTTCTACCTCCTCAATTGGGAAACACACCTCCCTCGTAGAGCAAATTAGAATGGGTGGGGTAGTAGATGAGATTGTAGATTTTCATAAGAGGCAATGAAAAATGCCATCGAGATTGAGCACAGAAATCTAAGATCTCATTCTTTCTTTGCAATAACTACAGTATGGATAAATTTGATTGTACATTTCTGGAAAGGTTACTGCCCAGGCGCTGTGCTGATCTCTGTGGATTTAAATACTAGTTCAAAATTACTCCTTAACTATGCTCAGTTTTAGGGAAGGAGATATGAATGATATTCAGTGTTTGTTAACGAGACTGCTAGTGGTCATCCAATATCCATTCTTCTTGTTCTTTCCCCTTTACATAAGCATTTTGGCCATCTTAACCATTTTCATGACTTTAGCACCTGGCTACATACACTGATAACTTCTAGATCCTTACCTTCAGTCTCTACTTCTCTTCCTGATCTTCAATTCCATATTTTCAAATGTCTACTGAACACACCCAACTGGGTGCCCTGCCAGCACCCAAGTTTCAATTATCTAAAACATAAATGATAACTCCAAATAGCCAATCATAGATAGTAAAAATTTTGTAGCCATTCATAAGTCCTTCCTCTATCCCAATATCTAATTGGTTACTGTTTTAGTTGACTACTACTAGAATCAGACTCACAGACAAGCATTTGAGTGCAATGAGTTTGTCTGAGAGACAATCCGAAGAAGCATCAGTAGGGGATGAAAACAGGATGCAAATTATTGTGGATATCTTAATGACTAAATTACCACTGTAGGCAATCAGGATTCACACTCACTGGAGGCCTCTGGGAGACAGCATAGAGAATGCTTCAGAGTTGTTCTCCCTAAAATATATTCATCTATTTTCATCAGTCAATGGTTGAGGAATGCTCCCAGGGATTTTAACTCCCCGGCACTTCTGGCCTACCCCACAATTGGGCTGAGTGAGCACCAGCAGCCAGAGAAATTCCTCAGGCAAAGAGTTCCTGGTGCTTTCAGTAAGATCACTTTGGGTGAGCATGCAGGGGAAAGTGGGTGCTAAAAAGACACAGGCAAGATACCAATAAGGTCTGCTACAGTCATCAAGTTCTTTCAATTCTGTGTGAGAATAAGAGTGAAGGAAACATTGAAGATCACGCCAAAGCTTCTAGCTTAGATGGCTAGGTGGGGAGTGAAACCAACACATAAATAGGTAACATAGGAAGAACAGCTTTGGAGAAAAGATGATGAGTTAAGTTCTTTGAATTTTTTTATGCCAGCTGGATAAATCAGTTGAAATTTTCAATAGTTACTGGAAACACAGGTCTAAAGCTTAGAAACTGTAGACATGGACTTGAAAGTTTGGATATGGATAGTGGTTGACATTTTAGGAATAGATGAATTTACTAAGGATAACACCTTAAAAAGGAGCTTTTGAGGGAGAGTAAGAAGGAGCTGTCATAGAGATTGTACACTTCATACAGTCTACGGCATGGAGCAAGTCCCAATCACTGTTTGCTAATTTACTTTTAATTGAAATATGTGGCCCTCTAGAAGAGGCTGTCGTACAAGTAGAATCCCCATATACTGCCGCTGTCCTCTAAACTGCTTCAGGCAAGGATGACAACCAAACAGTGGCATTTAAGGGGTCCTAAAATGGCCCTCTGCCCCAACATTTTTACCCAACCACTGCCCCAAGTTCTGGCCTGAAAGTTTCCCATTAAGAGATTTGTTCCTATTGTTCCTTTTCCAAACATTCTCTATTAGAACAAGCTATCAGTTACTGGCTACAATTCTCCTTTTAGGGAAAAGAGGATTCGAAAATTAACATCTGTTGAGCAGATGTTCTAAACCCTGTGATAGAAGATATATATCATTTCTCTATTTGATTCTCACCCAAGTCCTGTGAACTGCTTTATCAGTGGATCTTCTAGATGACTCATGAAAGAAATAAGATCAGATAGGTGGAGGGATTATTCTGGAGGAGAGAATCTTCTCCTATTGGGCAGACCTAGAATGGGGAGGGGGGGATGAATCAGAGTAGATGAGAAGTTGGACACCAGGTGAAAGGTATAAGCAGAAAGAAAAAAAGCCTAAATATATGAGAAATCAAAGACTTCTATCTGACACTCGCCTTGAATATGCATATAACCACTGCAGTAATAGTAGTAACAACTCTAATAATAACCTGAATTTTTTTAGAGTCTGCAAGCTCTCTTTATCCATTCACTTCTTCACTTGTCCAATAATCACTGAGGGCCCACTATGTGCTGAGCACTGTGCTAAAAGCTAGAGAAACAATAAGGAACAAAAACAGAACCAGTCCCTGCCCTTCATGGAGTTTACATCCTAATGGAACATACGTCAACAAAATACTTCCATAATGAAATAGAAAGGTGTAATTATGATAAGTGTTATGGTGATCCAAGAAAGGATTTAGACAAGCTGGACAAGTAAGGGACAGAAGGCTCCCCTAGAAAGCAGTGTTTCAGCTAATATCCAAACAATGAGAAGGAGCGTCCCAGGCAGTAAGCGTTATCATCATACTCATTTTACAGATAGGAAAGAATGCTGTGAGGATAACTGGACTGACAATTAGGAGACCTAAGTTCCAGATTTGACAGCTCTTCACCTTCTCTGTAATCTAACCTAAGCCATCTCTTAGGAGCTTGCTTTCCCAAACTTTAAAATGAGGTGCTACAAGCTCCCTTCTAGCTATAAAGCTATGCAGAGTTGGCTTTCAGAGAACCGCACAATCATCACAGTAGCTATTAGTAGTGAATCTTTGTTGCTCTGGGGACTGTTGTCTGTTGGAACTCCCTTTATCTGTTTAAGAGATCCATTACAGTGTGAGACCAGACTCCACTAGGAAACTCAAGTGGCCGCCCCTGACTCTCCTGGCCAGCAGCAGATAGAGCAGACACAGAACCCAAGACAAGTAGATGTTCCCACCAGGAACTGAGTCAAAGGGGTGGCACGAAGAAACTGACAATTTAAATTCATTCCACTGCAGTTCCAGTGGTTCCAGTGTTGGCGCCCAATGGTGGCAATGACAGTGTCCTATTCAGACCCTTCCTGTGGGAAATCTCAGCTGGGGCCATTTAGCTTCCTGCCTGCTTCTCAAAATGTCACATTGGTTCTGTGGCATTATTAACATGCTAATAAACTTCTTTTTGCAAAAGTGAACAAGAGATTACTTCTCAGAGATTACCTGGAATCCAAAATCATGATTGGTACACTATCATTTATTAAAAAGTTACTTAATTTTTTCTAACATTAATGAAAGTTTTATTCAAGAGAGAATATTGAAAAAGAGGTGAATTCTAAGAAAGGAAAAAGTTAATGGTTATCTATCCTACAGTAAAAAATGGAACTGGGAACCATTTTCAGCATATAAATAAACTCTACCTTTACATTTCTGAATAATGTCGTATTTGCTTCTTTGAGAGAGCCATGTCTTAACTTTTCCTGATAAGGCTTTGTGAATTGTGTTCAGAAATTTTAAAAGTACATACATATATAAAAATGGCTTTAAATGAACTACTTTTTAAAAATCTCACTACTGCAAAACAGTTATTAACACCACTTTTCAGGGAGGTAACAGAAGATCAGAGTTTAAATAGCATAGCTAGAGTCATTTAGTCAGTAAGCAGCAAACTCCTGTGTGTCTCTGCTCTTTCCACAATTCCATGCTACATCCATTCATGCTGGACACAGTACTAATTGGTAAGGAACAGAGTTCCTTGGATCTTTCTTTCTACTACCTCATAGTCTTGTGATGGAAGACTTTGTCTCTGGCATTGGCTTGCTTTGATTATTTAATCCAGGTTTGCTAGGGTTGAACTTTCCCATTGATAATCTGACAAACTAGCTCAAATGGTCTCAGAGTTATTGCCATAGAGCCCTCTCCTTTGAATATTTTCTGGTTTTATTGAGGAAATTACTGTACTTCATTTCCTAATCGTCTCTTTTGTTCCTGACAAATTTCATTTTCTTAGATGATGCTTAAACAACAAAATTGTATCAAAGTGTTAATCTAAACATTTGTGGTTGATTGAGTAGGTAATAATGATTCACAGTATGTTATAAGTAAACGGAATAATTTAGAGTCAAAAGCCACTAGTACTACCTGCCCAGAAGGGAGCAGTGTACTCTTATGTCACTCTGGTAACTTCTGAAAAGCCAGGAGACTCCAAAAGGAAATATGTTGGGGCAGGGATGAAGGGATTTACTGTTAATGCTTCAAAATGATTCTAAATAGAAAGATATTAGGCCACTGATGTATACCTACTAGGTACAAAATATTGTGTAGGACATTGTAAAAGGAATGCAAACTGTCTATATAGTGACCCTGACATGGATAATATTAGTATCATCATTTAGTGAGATGAAGTTACTTGTCTAAGCTCACAAATCAATTAAGTGATAAAGCTAGGACTCATAGCCAGGGTTTCTAATTCCAA